AACGTTGTAAAGATCGGGAGTGTGTCGAGGAGGGTTGCGTACCTTATACTCAGAATCACCAAACGGTATTCGCTGAAGGTCATACAGGTTTACGCACCAACCTCGGCACACCCCGATGGGGAGGTGGAGGAAATGTATGAGGATATCTCTAGAGCCATGCATTCCTCCAAAACCCAATATACGGTGTTAATGGGGCACTTCAATGCAAAACTAGGCACAAGAGAGAACGGTGAGCTGAAAGTAGGGAAATTTGGAATAGGGCAACGGAACCCAAGGGGCCAGCAGCTGGCCGACTTCATGGAGAAAGAGGGACTCTTTATGATGAACTCTTTCTTCCAGAAGCGGCCCCACAGGAAGTGGACCTGGTCGAGCCCCGACGGTTCGACAAAAAATGAGATTGACTTCATTATGACGACCAGACGACAACTGTTCAGTGATGTCTCCGTGATCGCAAGGGTGAAAACTGGTAGCGATCACCGAATGGTTAGAGGCACACTGAACCTAAACGTTAAGTTGGAGAGGTCTCGTCTAATGAAGTCAACGCTCCGTCCCCCTCGTGCTCTGTTCCAAAGTCCCGAAACCTTTCAGCTCGAGTTACAAAACCGTTTTCAGTGCCTAGAAGACTGCAATGAAGTGGACGATATGAATGACAAGCTCGTGAAAACTGTCCATGCGGTCGGAGCTAAGTTCTGTAAGACCCGCCGCAGAAGAACACAAAAACTCTCCGATCACACTCTTAATCTTATGGCTGTTAGACGGGAGATGAAGCTACATTCTTCAACAGACTTGACAGCATACAGGCATCTGAACAGACAGATCTCCAAATGCATGCGGCGGGACTTACGCAACTTCAATACAGCTCGTATTGAAGAAGCGATCGAGTGGAACCAAGGCTCCAAAGTCTTTGCCAGAGATCTGTCTGCTAGAAAGAGCCACTTGTCAAAGCTGAAGACAGAATGTGGCAGCATCGTTTCCGGGACACCTGAGATTTTTAGTGAGATTGAGAGGTTCTAAGGGCAGCTGTACACATCATCGTTGGAGCCACACGCAAGTGTGAGTAACGATCCAAGAGCGAGTCTCATCCGATACTATTCCCAAGATATCCCGGACGTCAGTCTGAGCGAGATTAGAATGGCTCTCCAGCACCTTAAAAACGGTAAGGCCCCAGGCGAGGATGGAATTACAGCGGAGCTTCTGAAAGCGGGTGGAAGACCGGTACTTGAAGTCCTTCAGAAGCTCTTTAATTCCATTCCATTCCATGGTGGCATTACACCGGAGGCGTGGAGCAGAAGTGCGGTGGTCTTGTTCTTCAAGAAAGGTGACAACGCTCTCTTGAAGAACTACAGACCGATTTCCCTTCTGAGCCGCGTCTACGTGCTGTTTTCGAGAGTCATTACGAATCGTCTCGCGCGCAGACTTGACGACTTCCAGCCTCCCGAACAAGCCGGTTTCCGAAAGGGCTTTAGCACCATAGACCACATACATACCCTTCGGCAAATTGTACAGAAGTCCGAAGAGTACAATTTGCCACTATGTCTGGCGTATGTGGACTATGAGAAAGCCTTTGATTCCGTCGAAATTTGGGCGGTGCTGCAGTCCCTTCAGCGGTGCCAAGTTGACTGTCGGTATATCGAAGTGTTGAAGTGCTTGTACAGTAGGGCTACGATGGCTATCCGAGTACAGAACCAGAGTACGAAACCTATCCAATTGCAGAGAGGTGTAAGACAGGGTGACGTCATATCCCCGAAACTCTTCACCGCTGCATTGGAAGACGTTTTCAAGGAAAGGATACGGTATCAACATCAATGGCGAGTACATCACTCACCTTCGATTTGCCGACGATATAGTCCTTATGGCAGAATCGCTGGAGGACCTAAGCACTATGCTCAATGACCTCGATAGTGTTTCCCAACGGATAGGTCTTAAGATGAACATGGACAAAACAAAGATCATGTTCAATGTCCATGTCACACCTATGCCGGTAGTTGTTGGGAGCACTAAGCTCGAAGTTGTTGACGAGTATGTTTACCTGGGACAAATAGTCCGACTAGGTAAGTCCAACTTCGACCGAGAGGTCAATCGACGGATTCAACTCGGCTGGGCAGCGTTCGGGAAGCTACGACACATCTTCTCGTCAGACATACCTCAAAACCTGAAAACGAAATTGTACAACCAGTGCGTGTTGCCAGTGATGACTTATGGAACTGAGACGTGGTCCTTCACTGCTGGCCGTATGAGGAAGCTCAAGGTCGCTCAGCGAGCTATGGAGAGGGCTATGCTCGGAGTTTCTCTGCGTGATAAACTTAGGAATGAGGATATCCGCAGTAGAACCAGAGTAACCGACATAGCCCAACGGATTAGTAAGCTGAAGTGGCAGTGGGCCGGCCATATAGCTCGAAGAACCGACAACCGATGGGGAAGAAAGGTTCTCCAGTGGCAGCCTCGTACCGGTAGGCGAAGTGTAGGGCGTCCCCCCACGAGATGGAGTGACGACCTGGTAAGACATGCAGGAAGTCGATGGATGCAGGTGGCTCAGGACCGTGCTTTGTGGCATTCTTTGGGGGAGGCCTATGTTCAGCAGTGGACTTGTGAAGGGCTGTAATGATGATGATGATGATGATGATGAGCCTGTTATTAAACTGACTCTCTATACCCCTCAGACCGGAACACAACACTGCAAGCGCTGCTATTAGGCGGCAACCAAAACATTATTTTAGGTGCATATGTGTGCACCTATCAGTGGAATTTTACAACCTGATAAAGAAAGAAAGAAGGAAGATGTGTGTGTGAATGTGTTGAAACGTTCGTAATATCTTCTGTATATTTCTTTGCTTATCTGAGTTTCATATACATTGTCAGTGAAAGTAGGTTCAGTCTTAAATTTTTTTAAAGGATCGTGTGACAAACGAGCACACAGTCCACCTGATGGTAAGTGGTTGCTGTGACCCATAGACATCTACATCTATCCTCGTTTACGAAACCAAATGTAGGTGCATTATCACCCGTAAGGACTAAGATGGAATGCCTCTTTTTCAGTAAAAAGGGTCTCCGGTTCTTTACACTCATCATACGAAACATAGCAGTAACATTGCTATTTTACGCCGGTATTCTATGAGAGCGTGGTCTTTTCCCGGTCGAGCCGACCCATTCGTGCTTAAACTATTCTACTAATATAGCTGCAACATGGCTCTACCACTTGAATTTTTTTTACACATTGAATTAACTCTTGAACGCATTGTTACAACATGCTAATGATCGAATCCCTAATACTCGCACACAAAAATAAATAACCTAGCTAGAATTCTTGGTGTTCAAATGTTGTGCAAGGATTTAAGATTCATGTGAATCTAGATTATTACGAGTAATTCATATTTAGTCAAATAAAAAATTATGTGCATATTTCATGTTTTCACGCTGTATCTATTAAAATAAATTATGCTGTTTTTAACAATAGTTTATAGTCAAGATATTTAAATAAATAAAAGCTCCTTACAAACCTAGGTGTTTTTCATTTATTTAAATACATAATAATATATATAAAAATACACAATAATTTTTGACCTATAGTATATAAGTTGTACACATGAAATTATAGTTTATAAGTATGAGTATAGATTATAGTATATAAGTACACATGAAATTAAAGACTTCCGACAACTACTTGCCAGAGAACATTTTGACGGATGTTATAACATATGTACCAAAGATATGGACAATATTATTCGATTTTTTAAAATAACGAATGTTTACTGTAACCATTTTCATACAGCTCGTTTACTTCTTTTCCTCGACTTGCTGCAGTAATGTGAACAGAGAGTACGATGCTTTGATTATCTGGAAATAAAAAAAAAATCAAGAAATTACGATATTTTTTTTAAAGTTTTGTTATCGATTACTTAATATTACTAATAAGGTACGTGAGGGTAATATGGTCACCTTAAGCTTTGCCGCCTTATAAAACCAAAACTAGGATGAGGACAGAGACAAATGCACAAAGTCGTATACTATAACTAATATAGAAAAAAATAACAAACAGGCCTTGGGAATAATTAGCAACACTTCGAAAAATCAACTTAAAAAAAAACTAACTATAGTACGTGAGGGTAACATAGTCATCCGGTTAATATGGTCACTTTCTTATAACTCAAAAACTACAGCGTCTTTTAGAACGCTCTGTGATACGATAGCTCTTCATCAGTCAATCAAATAATAAAGGGTGAAAAAGGCGCTGCTTTATCGACGCCATTTTGATAGTTGATATTATTGTAAATATTTTTGTATTGTGTAGTGTAGTTAGTTTTTTTATGTAGACTTTTCGAAGTGTTTCTAATTATTTCCAAGGCTTGTTTGCTATTTTTTTTTTCTTGATATATTAGTTACAATATACGACTTTGTGTTTTTGTCTCTGCTCTCCTCTTAATTTTGGTTTATAGGGTGATAAACCTTACGGTGACCATAATACCCTCACGTACTTACTATAATGTCAACTGTTAAAATGGGGTCGATAAAGCGCCGGCATTTTGACCCTTTATTATTTGAATGACTGATGAAGAGCTACCGTATCACAAAGCAATCTATACAAATTAGGCTGTAGTTTTTGAGTTATAAGAAAGTGACCTTATTAACCGGATGACCATATTAGCGTCACGTACTCTATTATATAGGTTAAAAGATAGGTTGCCTCCCATTTCATTCCCACTGAATGCTCTATGCACTAAAGAAGAGAAGAGAAGATAATAAAGTTTATTTATATTTAATATAATAGAATGGAATGCAATGGAACAAAATACAACGGATTATAATATAAATAAAATGAATTGGAATATAATAGAAATGAATATAGTCGATTAGAGAAGAGTAGAGTAGAGTAGGACAAAACAAATTAGGGCGGAATAGTATAGAATATAATCTAACTTATACACACTTACAGCCAAGAAGGAGGCGAGCGATAGTGGTGAACCCGCCAGCGGTGAGACGGGCAACGCGACGACAGCGTACCATCAGCACCAAGAAAGATCGCCGCAGCGGCACTCCACTCCATACATATACCATGGACATTCGTACGCCGCTGCAGCTGCCGCAGAACTCTGTAATTTCTTGCTTTTTGAATATTCTACTCTATTACTTTTCACGAGCAGTTGGTGGCTGCTCCGATGTGCTTGTTAATGGATTATACCAGGAGAGAGGTCCTTTACCCCTTCCCGCCGCAGCCGAGATAGAGTTGCGGGGGAGGAGGAGTGTTAATAAGGCGATACGCCACCTCGCTCTATCTTTCGCGACTTTGGCCACACCGTTAATACAGTGCTTGTAGTGATGCGAAGGGAGAGGAGTATCGGTATTACGATGCGTGCTCTCCTTGCCATCCACGGCCGAACCTTAGTCGGCGGCGGATCCATAGACCACGACTTTGACCACACCAATAATACGGTGCTAGTAGTGATGTGAACGGAGAGGAGTATCGGTATTACGATGCGTGCACTCCTTACCATTCACGGCTGAACCTTGGTCGGCGGGGGATCCATAGACCAAATCCGCCGCTGGGAACAGGTAGTCTGGTGCTTCTGTGTGCCTAGTGCTAGTTGTTGTTTTTACGCACTCGATACCGAGAAAGTTAACTACAATTTGTATGGAATAAAATCAGCGCCAACTAGTGGCAATAATTGGAATCACCATCGAGCATTGACTCTCATTCGCCAGTGAGAACGTTAACGCACGTGATTGGTTGGAGCGGCAACTTCGATCATTCGAGACGTAAAACTTTACGCGGTCGTTATCGAAAAAGTATTCACCTAAATTTTTACAGTGAGATAGAAGAGTGAGAATAATTGATGAAGAGTTAATTTTATTTCGTTTTGTGAGAACGATATATAATTTAGGCAGGACGTTATTTTTTCGTTAGGAGGATGTTTGCAGCCACAAAGGCATTAATAACTAATAATAATAGATGACTACTATTATAAAGCCAGTGTTGAAGCAAGAGCTTGTGCATATTTTAGTCCGTTGTTACACCTCAATGACAGGTAATTTAAGGATAGATATCGCCTTTTCTAAGAAAGTATTCAAGTTTTTGTGTAAATAGCGTTTGATAAATCCAAGTTCCTACCATCACTATTTAATAATTAAGTCAGTAATAAGTAAGTATCATAAGTTCACTTAACACTAAGTAACTAAATTCTATTTACTGCTCCATAAATATCACCATAAAATCATTTAGAATGAAAACATCTTCATGTTTTTTGCTTTCAATTTAATACTTTCAATAATTAACATTAAAATAAAATGGCTAATTCTCAATCTCATAAAACTAACACAAACTGTCGAAACCTTGATCAAATTCCGAAACATAAACAAATAGCTAATAATGAATTGTGATTCCGATTATTGCCACTAGTTGGCGCTGATTTTATTCTATACAAATCGTAGTTAACGTTCTCGATATCGAACGCGTAAAAACAAAAACTCGCACTAGGCACACTGAATGCTCGTTTTCACGCTCTCCGTGGCCGGACTCAGCGCGTTCCGTTGCGGAGGTGAAAGTGATAGGTTTTGGAGGAAGACGTGTCTTGTGTTCTCCTCTGCCGAACCGGGGCGGCTATGGAGCTGCCGGCGATGGCGGGGCCACGGATTTTTTCATGTAAAAAAAAGGACTGTACTTTGTAGCATGTGGGAGGCTTATAATCACTTTTTGATGGGCTGTCGTGATAATATGTTATTAAGTTATGATTTATAAATATATAATAGGTTGGTTGTTAATGGTGCGCCTTTTTAATTGTTTATTTTGTTTTCTACACGAGCATGTACAGTATCGAAACTGTACAGGCTGCAATATTTACTAACGATCATGTGGACTTTAACCCATGGTTGGCAACATTTCATGTATGAGGAAATAGTAAAAGTGGCAACATTCCACTCCCCCTTTTCTATGATTCCTTTAATTTATTAAAGAGACAATATAATATAGGTTTTCTTACCGTAATAGTATACAAAACCTTTCTCTTAATCATCACTCGCGGTATCAGTCCAATCAGTTCACTATTTCGGCATTGGTCCTTCGAGCCGGATGTAAACCACGAGCTATGATACTAGTACAAGTATTACAGCTTACCTCTTCGGACAGTTGATTCCCTTGGTAGCAATATAGAAATACTTGAAAGGTCATGTTCAGCAGATAGGTGCCCATTGATAATAAACGGACCAGGTTGCCAGTTTGCTAAAACATAGTTAAAATGACCAAAAACCATTGATGATGAAAGTTTCGCCAGTTACCGTAAACTTAGTTTTGGGTGGTCCCTCCGTAGATGGTGTAAGGAACCGGTGATACATGTAGGGAGTCGATGGATGCAGATCACTCAGGGCCGTGATAAGTGGCAGTCCTTGGTGGAGGCCTTCGTATTGCGCCTTACAAGCTTAAATGAGGCTTACAGAGCTACAAGCACATATAAGTCCGCCGCCGAACATAGGCCTACCCCATAGATTACCTCACAGAGCGGTATTTGTCTCAATCTTCTTGCTTGTTAGGCGGATGAACGGTCGAAATAGACATGTTACACCTTGGATGCTGCTGTTTGTCGCCGTATTTTACATCTGATGTAAATGAGATGACATTCAGCCATCTTTTATAGGCAATTACATTTTTTTTAATTTCCCATTTTTGATAGAATAAGGGTGAAAAATGAGCACATAGTCCACCTGATGTTAAGTGGATAGTATTGCCAATGGACATAGTCAACATCTAACCTTGATTAAAAATCAAAATGCAGATGCGTAGTCTCCCTTGAGGAATAAGATGGAATGCCTCGTTTCCCGTGAAAAGGGTCTACGGTACTGAACACTCAACATTAAGCTGCTAGTTTACGCTGGTATTCTGTGAAAGCGTGGTCCAGGTTCAATCCCCTCCTTCGATCTTCTCTCGAAGTCCTGATTTACAACGTACTCGGCGGCGAAGGAAAACATCATGAAGAAAACTGCATGTCTAAGAATTAAAAAGCTTCGAGCGAACGTTGATTTTGACATTTTGATTCTTAATTCAGGATATGGATTCGGGGGATGAGTCGCTCGCGTCCGTAGGCTTCGACCACCTAATCCTAGGCCCACCCTACACGTGTCCCCCGGGTGGTGCTAAACAGGCGACAAAGCCGAAAGAACTGACTCGGCTCCTCGCCGTGTGGTAGCGGCGTAAAAAATACCACAACTTACTTTCGCACCATGAGGCAAAATGTTAACGAAATGGCCCCGAGTTCCCGGCGCCCCTTTAATGGGGCAGGGGTGCGAAGAATCTCCGGGAGGAAAACCGGCGACGAGGTTCGCCACCCGTCACGTTCTGTCCCCCGGAGGGGCGAAAAGTGGATTGCGGAAGCCCGTTTGGCTACATTGAATGTATGTGGAGGAATGAATGATAAGATGGATGAAGTATGCGATATGATGTATGATAGAGGAATAGACGTGTTATGTGTGAATGAGACGAAACGGAAGGGAAAGGATGCCACTACACATGGCATGTATACCGCGTACTGCTCTGGTGTAGACGAGACCGAGCGGGCATGCCAGGGAGTCGGTATCATCCTTTCAGAAAGAATGGGTCATTGTGTAAAAGAGTATGAATGTGTAAGCCCGAGACTGCTATGGATACGAATGAAAGTGGGCTTAAAGAAGTTGTTTGTTTTAGGGGTCTACGCCCCAGACATGTCTAAGCCCACTTATATCCGAGAGCAGTTTTGGGAGTTGGTAAGGATGGTGCTAATGAAATGCAAGGTTAATGAAAATATTGTGATATTAGGCGATTTTAATGGAAGGGTTGGGGTGAGGAGGCTTGGTTATGAAAGGATATTGGGAACGTTTGGTGATGAAAGTATAAATGAGAATGGTGAAAGCCTTCTCGCCGTATGCGTGGAAAAGAATCTTGTTGTGACGAACACTTTCTTTCGTCATAAGAAGATTCACATGGGAAAGAGGTGATGATAGAAGTATGATAGATTTCATAATTGTTGATGAAAGAATGAGGAGCGCGGTGGTAGATACAAGGGTTTACCGGGGATCTAACGTAGGGACGGATCATTACTTGGTCTTATGCCGAATTAATGGTCTTTTCAGACGTTGGAGGCATCGGACATCTGTGTCTACCACAGCGTTACAGCGTATAAGAACAGAGAGGTTACAAGATGAAGGTGTGAAAGAGAAGTTCAAATGTAGATTGAGAGAAAATATAAGTGGTATGGCTGAATTGTGTATGAATGATTTAGACTTGGAGACTGTGTGGTATAATGTCAAGAAAGGTTTAGTGGATGCAGCTACCGAAGTATGTGGTGTAAGTAAGAGAACGAATGAAAGGAAAAATAACACGTTATGGTGGGATGATGAGGTACGGATGGAAGTTGAAGCAAATAAGAAAGCATGGCTAGATTTACTAGCAACCAAGGCTAGTAATTCTAGCAGTATGAATGATGATATTGAAAGGAAAAAGGCAGTTTTTAGACACCTAAATAAGGGAGTAAAAGAAGTAGTTGAAAGGAAAAAGCAAGAAAGAACGGATAAGAATGATAGAAGAATATCGGATAACTTCCAGGCAAACATTAAAATGTTCTGGAAACTCGTAAGAACTACCAGGGGACATTCACAACAGCCTAGAATGAATGCTATACGAGACCAGAATGGCTGTATTCTAAATGACGAAGTTTTGAGTTTAAGGAGATGGAAGGGATACTTTGAAAGCGTGTTTATGAGTGATGAGACGCTTGAATTAAATGAAATAGAAGTTCCGAAAGAAGAGGAAATAGATAGAGATATAAGTATAGATGAAATAATGAAAGCAATGAAAAGTATGAAAGCAGGTAAGGCAGCCGGTTATGATAGAGTATCTCTCGAAATGCTAAGGGCTGGAGAAGGGGTGGTGGCAGACCTGCTGTACACCTTGTTTAATTTATGTTGGGAACTCAAGCGGGTACCGGGAGACTGGTGCAAAGCCGTGATAGTCCCAATATATAAGGGAAAAGGATCACAGCAGGACTGTAAAAACTACCGTGGTATCAGCCTTCTTAGCATTGTGGGAAAACTGTATGCTAAGATACTAATTGAAAGAGTTATGAAAGAAACTGACGGAAAAATTTGGGATGTGCAAGCGGGATTTAGAAAGGGATTATGGGATGTACGGATCAGGTCTTTTCCATGCGCATGATCGCCGAGAAGTTTTTGGCCAGAAACCAAAAAGTTTTTTGTGCATTCATGGACTTGGAGAAGGCTTATGACAGAGTGGACAGGGATGTGTTATGGCAAACACTGAACTCATTTGGGTTGAGCGCTGGTCTGATACAGGCATTGAAGTCTCTATATAGGGACTCTAGTGCTTGTGTCAGGATCAACGGGGCCTACTCGGACTGGTTTGACATCCATAAAGGTGTCAGACAGGGCTGTGTGGCTTCCCCGTGGTTGTTCAACCTATTTATGGACAGTTGTTTGGAAAATTTGAAAGTAGAAGAATGCGGGATAAGAATGGGTGAGTTAACCGTCAAATGCCTTTTGTACGCCGATGATCAAGTCATACTTGCGTCGTCGGCAGCCGAGTTGCAAATGATGGTTACATTAATGAACAGGACATTAAAAGAAAAGGGAATGAAAGTGAACGCAAGTAAGACGAAAGTTATGGTTTTTGAAAGAGAAGAAAATAAAACGATATGTGAAATAAGAATAGAAGGGGAGTTGGTAGAGCAAGTAGATGAGTTTGTATATTTGGGATGTGTGTTTAGCAGGGATGGTAGATATGATAAGGATATAGAACGACGAGTGAATGCAGGAAATAGAGTGAATGGGGCTCTACACTCTATTGTGAAAAGTCAGAATGTGTCCAAAAAGGCACGTATGGCAATTCACAATGCTGTGTTAGTACCTACTTTAATGTATGGTAGTGAAAGTTGGGTGTGGCAGAAGAAGCATGAGAGTAGAATAAATGCTGTAGAAATGCGGTCATTAAGGAGTATGTTAGGGATGAAGCTGAATGACAGAGTGAGAAATTGTTTAATAAGAGAAGAGTGTGGTTTGCAAGATGATATTGTGACCAGGATTAATCCTGGTCACAATATCATTCCTTTACCACCGAAGTATTCCTTTCTTAAGAAAGGAATACTTCGGTGGTTTGGCCATGTAGAAAGAATGAATGAGGAAAGAGTGACAAAGCAAATTTATGTTGCAGAGGTGAACGGCATAGTCGGGAAGGGTCGCCCTAGGCGAAAGTTTATCGACCAAATTGGCGATATATTAAAAATGGGCCAAATCAAGAGTACCTTTAACCGACGAGCGTGTATGCGTAGGTATATGGATGTGGAGGAAGCGAGAGAGGTGTGTCAGGATCATGCCAAATGGAAGTCCATAATCTCTGCCTACCCCTCTGGGTGACAGGCGTGAGTGTTTATGTTATGTTATGTTATATTCAGGATAAATACAGATATCTATGGGCCACAGCATTGTCTTACCATAAGTTGGACAATGTGCTCGTTTGCCACTCTTTTGCTTTAAAAAGAAACGTGAAGTTCACAATACTCATTGCAGCAGTGCGGCAGACTAAAAGCGCCATAATCGTCTCAGATGTGAGAGGCCTGTTCCCAGCTGTGGGACGTATAAAGGATATCACTTTTAACTTTTTCACCAACATTTCGTTACGATCTGATAGTCTCTTAATGTTTTACTTTAAGGGTATAAAAAATCTTCAAAGTGTCGTCAACCAACACTAAATAAATGTAAAAAATACCTATTTCTTTATGTATCAACATGTAACAAAAACCCTGTGGTTCCCGTTACGTGGGTTATCAGAATCAGTATTCAAACGTGTAGAAATAACTTTACTTCAGAAAACTCAACCTTAAAAAAATCAAATGAATTTAAATAAATTTTTATTTCCAATTTACCGGCCGGCTGGAGTGTCAAAGACCCCGCTTTACCGTTGCGCGTGTGAGTTCGTTCAGATGTGAATAACATTTTTTCACAAGATTTAATTTAAGAAGTTACCTATTGTAAGCAGTAAAATCTCTTTAATAACGACCAAAATCATCCGGATCAAAGGATTGTGTGTTACATACATTGCGAGTCCAATACATATAGCAATGTGCCATGGCTATGTTTACTGTAGCGCAGACAGATAGCTTTGATTTAATCTGGCGCAAGAAAACAGCCGCGCTATTAACCAGAGTCCGTGGGTGCAGCAACACCATCCTGCGCATGATAGCAGGGAAGATGGATGGCCCCCTAATTGTAAAGCTCATACAGAGGACTAACCCATTAGTGTTAAGCACTAACATAGTCGTAAAGTTTTTTATGGACACAAACACCAATCGACCCTTATGTTGTCTGAATAAATAAAATAAATAAATAAATGATTATATTACATAAATTATATATTTGTAATATATCTTCGTTCATGACCAAAAATATAACTGATATCAACACGTACTGAAACAAGCTGAAATGCAGTTACGCATATGATGACCAGTGACACCGTAAACTGCGCGAAGGTTGGCTCCGAGAAACACTCTTGCAACTGACCCGCCGCGTGCAGCGCTGTCTGGTGGCGCGCCACGCATTTACGAAGTCGTGCCTTCACTATCAACTGCTGATTTTCAGTTAGAAGATGCTAGAAAAAGTTTCAATTGGCTAAAAATTGTTTCTGTTTTTTTTAAGTGTAACTGTTATAATTGCGCACATTTATTGAAATGATCTCAATTAAAATTTTGTATGCAAAGAAGTTGTATGATCTTTGTTTACTTGGACGATAAATTCGAAAAATATATATTACGGAATCATCAAACGGTGCCATCAAATTATGTGAATTTACAGTGGGGTGACATCGTAAGACAACCAATTACTCTGTCTTGTTCTGTGAGTTTCATATGGGACGTTGTAAGAGATAAACTTTATTTTATATGTAAGTATCTACAACTGAAAGGATCGGCTATGGATAAGGTGGCATCTCGGTACAGAATAATTTTGTTGTTTGTATAAGGCTCTTCGATAGACTGTAACACAAGGCATATGATGGACTACATAAAGTTTAAAGCTAAGTATACGTAATTATGTTTCTGCTAGGTATTATCGATTTAAATTATTGTAGGTAACCAGAATTTTTTTGAATTACACCAAAAATTGTCCCTCGTGACCACGGTTGCTGGAAAGCAACCGAAACGTCGGGAATATAAAATAAGTTAATTAAACGCGATAAAATCCGTAAAAATAGTTTTATTCAATACACCAAATTAAATAAAAAAGTATTAAGGGTTAAAAAAGACTTGTATGTATGCACTGTGTGTAGACAATATGTATTTGCACATGGTAGAGTCATCCTGTATTAGTAGTATAGTTGTAGCACGAATGGGTCGGCTACGCTGATTTCGAACATAAGCTAATATTAATTTAGTCAAAAAGGTTTTCCCAGTTCCTCCAGTTGCATCTAAAAACCATATTGTTGACAAAATATTCTGAACACTCTCTCACACACTTACACGTGGTAACTTATACGTGGTAGAGCCATGCTGCAGCTATATTATGGTTGTAGCTCAAATGGGTCGGCTCGACCGGGGAAGGACCACTCTCTCACATATTACCAGCGTAAAATAGCAGCTTAACACTACTGTGTTTCGTATGGTGAGTGTAGAGAATCGGAGACCCTTCTTACTGGAAAAGAGGCATTCCATCTTAGTCCTAACGGGTGACAATACATCTGCATTTTGATTCTTTATTGAGGATAGATGTAGATGTCAATGGGTCACAGTAACCATTGACATCTACAGTGGACTGTGTGCTCGTTTGTCACCCTATCCTATTAAAAAAAAAAACAAAGAAGATAATTATAGTGGGTAAATTAGTCCCTGTCCACCGGATTATTGGAGTCATGAGTAAAACTATAGAGAATGCTTATATTTATGCACACACTCGTACAATATAATCATGTCGTGCACAGATGGCTAGTCTACATTGAGACTGTCCGCCATGACTGAAATCAGTCTGGAGGACACTAAAGACTTCACAGATCTTTATTTTTACAACAAGGTATCCCTACGACACCAGCAAATCGCCGGCTTATGAGCTGACGTATTTACATCAAGTTTTCCCACTGTTCGTCGCAGCCAACCTTAACGTGAGCACCCTGGTCACGACTCTGATAGCACAATGCAGATGCTGGCTACGCTTGCTGGGGCTGGCGCTGAGGACTATGTGCCATGATATGGATATACATGCCTAGAAATGTAAGTGACCAACAAAGATTGCTAGATAATAATACAAGACGAGCACTACGATACTAATACATTGTGCACTAAGTTACGGTCAATTCTCCGTAACTTCTTTAGTCTACTGCGAGCAGGGAAGAAGATTAAATCTTTGTTTTGTAAACCGCGAACGTAATTTTTGACAATCTAACACTGATTTTATTTAATGTGACTAAGAAAACTCTGTAATTTATTTATGTGCGCACTTTGTTAGCGTGATTTGAAGATTATTTCAGATAAGTATGTAACTTTATTTCGTATTTGCGCGGCATCGTCGTCGTTTTATTATATAAAGAAGTGCCTCAACAACGTTTAAAAATCATAGGAATATGGCACTTTATTCCTTCAGGAATAAAGTGCCCTCTAGCATGATTTTTATAAATTATTTAGTTATGTAGATATTAAAACTATACGTAGCTCTCCACAGTACAATGTTGCAGTAACAGATGGCGATTAAAGCAGTCATGATTATTTCGTGTAGTGCTAGTTTTGATAAATAGTAAAATTACCCAACTTTCTAACAAGATATTTATAACAAGCTAATACATATAATTATCTTCTTTTTTTTTTAATAGGATAGGGCCTCTAAAAATCTTGGCGTACTCAGCAGACCGGTACAGTATTTCATGCCAGCACAGTTTACAAGGCGCAAGTTCTCCCTCACATGGAGTACTGTTCTCATCTCTGGAGGCATGCCCCGGCCCCAGTGCCAGTTCCCTCACTTGACCACATCCAGCGAATAGTGGCTCTAGTCGTCGACGACCGAGTATTTTCTGATCAAACATACATAGGTCTTGTTGTAAGATGTCAGATGATGTTTTTATTAACGTTCATTGATATAAATAAGTACTGATTGGCCTCTATATATACAAGTACGCTGGACTGGTTATGCCATACAAAATGCTTATACTGATTTGAAGCGCCCTCGTTGTCCGTACCGAGAACTAAAATTGACATAATATGCCAAAATCTGTTGTATTATTTAAATCCTATCTCTGTATTTTGAATTTTTAAACTTAAAAAAGAAAGTATTTTATGTGGTTTGCTTATGTTTGATTTTAGTTACATAATAGGAATTATTTTTAGTAATAATAAGAGTGTGCGTAATATGTAACACTCGTTACCAAAAGGAAAGTGGGATAACATTCCATAAAAAAGTGAATTTGCAGGTAATATTGAGCAGATTAAAACTATTTGATAATATAGGTACTTAAAATTTTGTTACTTTTTTATAGGATAGGGTGACAAACGACCACACAGTCCACCTGGTTGTAAGTGGTTACTGTGGCCCATAGACATCTACATCTATTCTCCATTACGAATTAAAATGCAGATGCGTTGTCACCCGTGAGGACTAAGATGGAATGCTTCATTTCCAGTAAAAATGGTCTCCGGTTCTCTACACTCACCATAAGAAACACAGCAGCGTTAAGCTGCTATTTTACGCTGGTATTCTGTGAGAGCGTGGTGCTTCCCCGGTCGAGCCGACCCATTCGTGCTACAACTATAGTACTAATATAGCTGCAGCATGGCTCTACCACGTAACGAGAGAAACGTAACGTAAGGTGAGAATAATATAGCTATATATAAATAGTTCAATTACAAGAATTTTGTACTTATTTGAGGATTCCCTCTATACTACTAATTACTCTGAGACTAAAACATACTCTTGTCTTATCGTAAACAGGAACATTGGTTAATTGCTTCAATATCTAATTTTTTTACTCGTGTCTTCAGAACTTGCCCCTCTTCGAAGTATCAACTTCCCTTCGTTTAAGCTACTTCTATCTGTGAGCGAATTTATTACCGCTCGATGAATGTCACGTCTCACGTCGCTGTAATAAACTGGAATGCATCAATACGTTGATTCCTCAGAAAATTAAGATAGATCTACTGTGGGCTATGTGTTCGATTTAAGAAAAAATAAAGTTATTAGCTATTTTATATAAGACAAACAAAAAACTCTATAAAAACCCTCTAAAAGATAATATATATATAACGAAAAACACCAACGCTCTGGGAAGTCTGCACTCTGTGATTATCATAGAATCTAAACGGCTCTGCCATTACATTAGATTTGATAAACCACAAATCCTTGCGGCAGTATCATTTCGAATCATAATGCTATCTGTACTCTTTCACATATCTCTCGTATTGTTAGTAGTATATTATTCAGTGATTTATTAAATTAATTACTACTTAGGGGACAATGTTTATGCTATAACCGTGTAATGGTGTAAGAATATCCACACCTCAGATTGCCACGTTGGTGTGAGATGGGCAGCAGCATCTTATAACAACACAAAACTTCTATTCTGTATATTTAAATGAAAATTATCTCCTTCACCAAGATTTGACTGGAAGAGATAGCTGTTTAGCGATAAGGCCACCTTATTGTACATACATTTATAAATTTAAGTTTGTGGTTTTGTGTAATATTTTGTACGCAATAAAGAGTATAAATAAATAAATAACACAAAATAACAAAATATTACGGTTGCCAACCCACCCGCCAAGCGTGGCAACTATGGCAAATATCCCAATTATAAGGCAATCTATGGGGGAGGCCTATGTTTAGCAGTGGACTTGAACAGGCTGTAACGGTAACGGTAACAAATTTAAATGAAAGAATACAAAAATAACTAAAACATTATGAAAAATAAATTAATTTAAAAGATCCATGCTGTATTATAAAACATAAGTAAGTATGTGCCTCAAAATTTAATAATATTATAAATAAATATGTTTAATGAATTTAATGACACTAGGTGTGCTCGATAGATGCAATCTTTATATATAAAAATTACGTGTCACGTTATTTATCCGCGATGGACTCCTAAACAACTGAACTGATTTCAATAAAATTTTGCACACTGCATTCAGTTTGGTCCAACTTGAGAGATAGGATAGTTTTTATCCCGATAAATGACCCATATCGGGTATATAATATTTTTTATTACGAATTAAAGGATTTTTTATAGGACAAAATGTCGTCGGAGAGGGCAGAACAACGTCTGCCTGGCGAGCTTCTTTCTACTTTATAAAATTCTACTCCATTCAATCATAATATATTCTATTCTATCCTATTTCATTTTATAGGTATTACGGCTTCCCAATGAATCTGTACATATAAAGATGGTAGATTATACTATATCGAAGGAAAATTATTTTTTTATACAGGATGCACTACGTCAAGGCTTCTTTAAGAAATTAAATTGAATCAGCATAATTGTTTTCATGATCGTACAGGTAGACTGATCAGGACTCACCTGATGGTTAAAAGTAGCGTCGTAGCATGAATAATCAAGACATAAAGTTCAGATCCCTCAGAGCTAAAAGAATTGGTCACTAGAATACATCGTTACATAAAAGTGATGGATTCACTGATACTTGTCACTCACACACAAAAAAAAACGTTTGTGTACTTATGTACGCACGTAAGTGGTTATACTTCTTTAGCGTTACAAAACAAAAATAATTAAAAATAACTACCTTAAATATAGTTATCAGTTCCCACGAAAACTTGACAGACAGTTACTCCATGAAGTTGTCGCTTTGAGGTGTCAGTGTGCGCGTGCATGGTAACAACTTCATGGTGTTGTTTTTAGCTGTCGGTGTGCGCGCGCATCGTCATCAATTCACTCTCATAATTATTCCCAAACGTTGGGGCGTTTGGGAATAATTAGTATAAATTCAAAACCTAACTAGTGTGCAAGTTACAATATTGTGCAAGGATTTAAGATTCATGTAAATCTAGATTATTTATTAATTAGTGCAAAAAATTATGTGCATATTTCATGTTTTCACGCTGTATCTATTAAAACAAATTATGCTGTTTTTAACAATAGTTTATAGTCAAGATATCTAAATAAATAAAAGCTCCTTACAAACCTAGGTGTTTTTCATTTATTTAAGTACATATTAGAAAGAAGTGTTAATTTTTGACCTATAGTATATACGTGCACATGAAATGAAAGACTTCTGACAACTGCTTACAAGAGGACATTTGGACGAATGTCATATGATATGGACCAAAGATATGGACAATATTATTCGATTTTTTTTAAAATAACGAATATGTACTGTAGCCATTTTCATACAGCTCGTTTACTTCTTTTCCTCGACTTGCTGCAGTAACGTGAACAGAGAGTACGACGCTTTGATTATCTGAAAATTAAAAGATTCATTAAATTTCGATATTTTTTTTAGAGTTTTGTTATCGATTACTTAATATTAGTTATATTATATAGGTTAAAAGATAGGTTGGTCTCTCATTTATGAGTACGATGAAGCTATAAGAGCCAAAAGGCTAACAGCACTAATATTATCAGAAATCAGAGTCTCCTATATAATTGTCTTATATATTTGGAGCGGTGTTTATGGCATGGTGGGTACTGAATGCATAGAATAGACACTAGACTAGACACAACTGAATGAATAGAATAGGAAAGAAGAGAAAAGAAGATAATAAAATGGAACGAAATGCAATAGAATATAATATAAATATAATGGATTGGAATATAATAGAAATGAATATTGTCGATTGGATTAGAGTAGTGTAGAGAAGGACAAAACAAATTAGGACGGAATAGAAAAGAATATAATAATAATCAGTTCTATTCTTTCTAAAATTCTCTCCTCCTCCTCACTTATAAACACTTACAGCCATGAAGGAGGCGAGCGACAGAGTGGTGAACCCGCCAGCGGTGAGACGGGCAACGCGACGACAGCGTACCATCAGCACCAAAAAAGATCGCCGCAGCGGCACTCCACACATATACCATGGACAGTCGTACGCCGCTGCAGCTACCGCAGAACTCTGTAATTTCTTGCTTTTTTGTACTTTATTGCTTTGCATGGCTGGTTCGTACAGGATGTTGAAAGGACGGTAGCGGGAGTGGTTTCCTCTTCCCCTTCCCGCCGCAGCCGTGATGGTGTTGCGGAGGAAGAGCAGTATTGGTATGGCGATGCGCCACTCTCCCTATTCTCACCGTTAATGGTGGAGCCGCATGGAGGAAGAGGAGTGTTGATATTACGATGCGCTGCTCTCCTACCATCCACGGCTGCACCTTGATCGGCCGCGAAGCCATAGACCAAATCCGTGTCAGGAAGGCTGGTGCTTCTGAGTGCTCATTTTTCTATTCTCCGTGGGCGGACTCAGCGCGTTCCGTAGCGCGGGTAAAGATGGAGGCCTTGGAGGAAGGCGCGCCTTGTGTTCTCCTCTCCTGAGGATGTCTATGGAGCTGCCGGCACTGGAGGATCCACGGATAAGTGTAAAAGCGTAGCCCTGTCAGTGCGAGTCCGAGATAACCCGTCCTTACCACGTGAGACGGGTATGTATAGAAATTTTTCTTACTTTTTTTCATGATGCGTCTTGTTAATTGTGTATTTGGTTTTCTACACGAGCATTTATACGTGGTAGAGCCATGCCGTAGCTATATTATAGTTGTAGCACGAATGGATCGGCTTCACCGGGAAAGGACCACGCTCTCCCATAATACCAGCGTAAAATGGCAGCTTGGCACTGCTGTCTTTGCATGTAAAAAACCGGAGACCCATTTTACTGGAAAAGAGGCATTTTATCTTAATCCTCACGGGCGACAACGCATCTGCATTTTGATTCTTTATTGAGGACAAATGTAGATGTCTATGGGCCACAGCAACCACTTACAATCAGGTGGCCTGTGTGCTTGTTTATCACCCTATCCTCTAAAAAAAGCATGTACAGTATCAAAATTGTACAGGCTGCAATATTTACTTACTATCTTCTGGACTTTAAACCAGATTTATATTGTTATTATTGTTGGCAACATTAAATGTATAAGTAAATAGTAAAAGTGGCAACATTCCACTCCCCCTTTTAATGGTTTCTTGTAATATTTATTAAAGACACAAAATAATATAGGTTTTCCTACATTTATAGTATACAAAACCTTTCTCTTAATCATCACTCGCGGTATCAGTCCAATCAGTTCACTATTTCGGCATTGGTCCTTCGAGCCGGATGTAAACCACGAGCTATGATACTAGTATAAGTATTACAGCTTACCTCTTCGGACAGTTGATTCCCTTGGTAGCAATATAGAAATACTTGAAAGGTCATGTTCAGCAGATAGGTGCCCATTGATAATAAACGGACCAGGTTGCCAGTTTGCTAAAACATAGTTAAAATGTTAGCTAATTTTGTTGGAATTAACCTTTAGTTATATAACTTTTGAGTGTATACCCCTGGCTGAATTAAACTTTACCGCGACAAGTTATTAAGTATAACAAGCGAAATCTATACGTATGAAAAATCACATAACCCGAATAACTAACAATTAATGAGGAAGAAAGTTTCTTGAGCCTAATACCGGTAAACTTAGTGTTGGGTGGTCCCGTAGATGGTATGAGGAACTGGGGAAACATCTAGAAAAATGATTGATGCAGGTCGCTCTGGGCCGTGATTTCTGGCAGTCCTTAGGACAGGCCTTCGTATTGCACTGGACTTATGAAGGGATATAATGATGATAGTAATGTATGTACAAGCTTAAATAAGGCTTACAGGGCTACAAGCACACAAAAGTCCACCGCCGAACATAGGCCTACCCCATAGATTACCTCACAGAGCGAAGTTTGGCTCAGTCGTCACGTTTAGGAGGCGGATTAACGATCCCAGTAATATACGTGTTACACCTTGGACGCTGCTGCCCTTTGTCATATTTGCATCTGATGTAAACGAGATGACATGCAGCCATCTTTAAGAAACAATCAGATTTTTCTGGCAGTCCCCATAATATTATTTTATAAATTAACCAGCTGTTCCTCGCGGCTTCGCCCGCGTGGTGTTATTTTGGAACCCTAGAATAAAAGTAGCCTAAGTTAGGTCCTTGGCTTACACATAAAATATAGATATATAGGTCGCGGACTATTTTGTAAAACTATTTAAGAGAAATTTTCCACCATATATTATATTCGTGTAACTCTTACAGTTTTTGCACCTTACTTTAAAATAGCTCACAGATGACAGATTTTTTCCGATTCCCTTAACATTTATCGATATATTTTGGTTAATTTACACAATATCTTTATGCATTATAGCTTATTTGTTATTTTGATGAATAAGCTATATAATTGTAAAGTTTCATTAAAATCAATTCAGTAGTTTTTTGCGTGAAAGAGTAACAAATGTCCATACGTACTCACAAACTTTCACGTTTATAATATTAGTAGGAAGGTGAAAAACGAGCACACAGTCCACCTGAAGTGGATTTTGTGGCCCATAGACATCTACCTTCGATTAAGAATAAAAATTCTAATGCGTCGTCTCCTCTGAGAACTAAGACGGAATGCCTCGTTTCCCGTGAAAAAGCTCTACGGTGCTCAACAGTCACGAAACACAGCAGCATTGAGCTGCTATTTTACGCTGGTTTTCTATGAGAGCGTGGTCCTTACCCGGTCAAGCAGACCCATTCGTGTTAGAACGATAATATAGCTCCAGCATTGCTCTTCCACGTAAAAAATCACCTCTTACGATCTGATAGGCTCTTAATGTTTTACTTTAACGGTATAAAAAAATATCAAATTCACAAGATTTTTTCACAAGATTGGATTTAGTAAGTTACCTATTGTAAACACTAAAATGCCTTTAATAACGAGCAAAATCATTCGGATCAGCGAGTTGATTGTTACATGCTATATACATACAAACCTAACAGAACAGAACAGAACCGAGGCAGCCGCAACAGCCTCCTACTGGAGAAGGTTGCGGCTGCCTCGGTTCTGGCCTTGATTCAACTGGCGCAAGAAAACAGCCAGAATCAAATATGGATGGCCCTCTGATTGGAAACAGAGGACAAAATCCCTATTACTGTTTAAGTACTAATATAATTAACAATTTTTTCAATTACTAATATAATTAACCAATGGACCATAATGTTGTCACAAAAAATAAATTAAATAAATACATTACATACATAAATATATTGTTTTTAATATCTCTTGGTTCATGACCAAAAATATAATTGTAATCAACACGTACAGAAACAAGCTGAAAGGCAGTTACGCATATGATGACCAGTGACACCGTAAACTGCGCGAAGGTTGGCTCCGAGAAACACGCTTGCACCTGAACCGCAGCGTGCAGTGCCGCCTGGTGGCGCGCCACGCATTTACGAAGTCGAGCCTTTACTATCGCCTGCTGATGTTCAGTTAGAAGATGCTAGAAAAAAGTTTCAATTGGTTAAAATCGTTTCTGTTTTTTTTACTTGAAACAATTATAATTACGCACATTTACTGAAATGATCTCAATTAAAAATTTGTATGCAAAGAAAGTGATATTTGTTTAGGCATCAAATTATGTGAATTTGCAGTGGGTTAACATCGAAAGAGAACCCATTACTCCATTTTGTTTTGTAAGTTTCTTATTAGACGTTGTAGAAACGAGATGACCTTTATTTTATATATCTACCACTGAAAGAAGCGGCTATGGGTAAGGCCTCTCGATAGAGGGTAATTGTGTTCTTTGTGAAAGGCTTGTTTGAAAGTTGGGTAATTTTACTATATACCAAAACTAGCACTTCCCGAAATAATCATGACTGCTTTAAGCGCCATCTGTTACTGCAATACTGTACTATGGAGAGCTACCTATAGTATAAATCTCTACATAACTAAATATTTTACAAAAATCATGCTAGAGCGCACTTTATTAATACAATTTTAAACGGTGTTGAGGGGCTTCTTACTTTAATAAAACGATGATTTCCTGGCTAATTTTCAACCTTAAAAAGTTCTGAATAAGTCACGTAACACTTATACGATAAGATCGAAACTTCTTCTCTTCTCAAATGACATAAACACGTCATGTTACGTATGATGAGTGACGAATTACTAGAATTAGCTGCACCGTGAGCACGAACATTTTGCTTTACAGTATAGTTTAGTGTAAGTAAAATTTTATATGGAAATTCGAACAGCACTCCGTGAGCGTATTTAGAACTATAAAACGACGCATTTCTACTTAGTCCTCAAAATTGACAACAAATCTGCACTTCGATTCTTAATCTAGGATGTAAGTCTAGGATGTAAGGTCATTATTTCCACTTTCCAGTAATTTCCATTATTTATATATTTTAACTTAAGTTTAATATTTGGCTACTCTTTGAAAAATAACCCTGTATAATGACAGCGTTTTCTTAGTCGCTTTAGACAAGATCAATGTTAGTGTTAGATTGTCAAGAATAGCGTTCGTGGTTTACAAAACAAAGAACTAGTCCTCTCGCCTGCTCGCAACTAAAAACGTTACGGAGAATTAACCGTACCTTAGTGCACAATTTATCAGTATCGTAGTGCTCGTCTAGTATTATATATAACAGTCTTACTTGGTCACTTACATTTTCAGGCATGTCCATATCATGGCACATAGTCCTCAGCGCTAGACCCAGCAAGCGTAGCCGGCATCTGCATTGTGCTATCAGAGTCGTGACCAGGGTGTCCTTGCTCACGTTAAGGTTGGCTGCGACGAACAGCGCAAAAACTTGATGTAAATACGTCAGCTCATAAGCCGGCGATTTGCTTGTGTCGTAGGGATACCTTGTTGTAAAAATAAAGATCTGTGAAGTCTTAAGTGTCTTCCAAAACTAAATTTCAGTCTCGGCGGCCAGTCATAATGTAGACTAGCTATGTGCGCACGATATGATTATATTGCACGAGTGTGTGCATAAACATATGCATTCTGTATAGTTTCACTCTTGACTCCAACAATCCGGTGGCCGTTGGAATGGCACTCTGACACGAGCGGAGAGAGATCAGGCACAGGCGCGACGTCTTAACGTGATTGAGATACGCGGCTGGAATACCACCGACATCCTGACTCCGGTCTGCTGCTAAGAATTTCTTGACAAAAAACCCCCATAACTGATTGTGGCCGGGGCCGGGATTCAATACCGGGATCATCAGTCCCACTCACCGCTCGATCAACGAAGCAGTCAAATATCAAATAATTATGAGTATAATATCTGTTTTATATCAAAACTAGCTGTTCCCCGCGACTTCGCCCACGTGGAATTTATTACGATTTAATTTCATGGCTTTTTTACGTGAAACCCTAATTATTTTTCTAAAATAAAAGTAGCCAAGTTATATATGAGATGCTATAACATCGGCTATCTATAGCCGATGTTATACCAGTGAAAGTGCCGTCAAAATCAGTCCAGCCGTTTAGGAGATTAGCCGGAACAAACAGACAGACAGACCGTCAGACATATAGACAGACAGGCGGACAAAAATTTCAAAAGTGGTTTTTTTGTTATAAGCACCGTATATACTTTCATATGCACTTAGTTAATAACTGTTATTTTGACACTACAAAAAGACACTTCAATTCTATTTATATGTACATATATTTATAAGACAATATGTACAATAAGAAAAGCAGGATGCATGGCATGGTAGTGTAGCTGCAGCTCTTTGGAGTCGCACGTAGAAGAACTAAAGCAACTAGCTTCTGAAGTCGCTGCTTCAGAAGCTAGTAAAATATGTGGAGTTGTTTTATATTTCAGATTTTTTAAGTCGACTTATACTTTTTAATTTTTTTTTCTATATACAAAGAAATAGGTAGAAACTGTTAGCGTTCAGAACAAAAATTTATCGTGTAGTGGCAGTTGTAAGAATATCCACTACCATATAAGAACCCGTGAATGTCGTACGAGGCGACACAGAGAAACAAACAAGAAGAAGGGCAGCAAGGACTTCCTTATAACAACTAAAAAGTAAAAACACTGTGGTTGCCACAAGGTTGTGGTTGGTGTTTGTGCGGCCAACTAAGGCAAATATCCCCCTATAAGGCAATCTGTTGGGGAGGCCTCTGTGGACTTTTAATAGACTGTAACAATAGAACAATAATTACCAAGCACGTAGAGGGAGCTTGTTCTTCTCGGCGCTTGTCGCCCACCCGATCATTGTCACCAGAGTGAGGAAGATGTAGAGAATTAGCTGCAAAGCTGTCTCACGGTTGCACCTATCCAAAGAAAAGTTTCACATTGAAGTGAATGAATGATTTATTCGTCACACTTAACACAACGTAAAGACATTGCTTCGACAAACATAAATAAAAAAACAATTAACACAAATACATCGGGTTGCAGCAACGTAAAGGCATCCCCCTCGGCATGATGCTGTAGTAGTGTGAAGTGACACAAAGTCTTTTATACATAGTAAAGCCAAGTTGCAGCTACTTGTATATTGTGGTTGTTGAATGGATCGGCTCGGCTCGACTAAGGACCACGCTCTCACAGAATACCAGCGTAAAACAGCAGTTTATTGCTGCTGCGTTTCTCATGGTAAGTGTGGACAACTCGAGACACTTTTTACTTAAAAGGAGGCATTCATTAATAATTATTTTTGATTCAATCTACGCAAAGTGAGGTTATTTTATCTTGAAGTCTTAGCGTAGTTTACTTGGGTTTGCAGTTGGTAGCACGCTGCCAAGTTCTCCATTAAAATAGAATGTTTTTAATCCAATAGCCTCGCGAACCAATCTTATTAGGAGCCGACAAATTATTTTACTAAAAATCTTAAAATTGTATTTAACAATTTATCGTTACCGGCGACAAATAAAAAATACCGGATTTTTCTGTAAAATTTTTGGCAACTACTTAGACTATGAGCTAACACAGATTTAAAAAAATAATTTTTTTACGAGATAGAACTCTATCTTAAAAATAATGGTCTCAACCAAGCACACAGTCATCTTACATCTATGCTTACAAACATCCTCAAAATTCAGATGCGTTGTCATTCCCGAGGACTAAAACAGAATGCCTCGTTTCCAGAAAAAGGGATCTTCAGTTCTCTATACCCACCATACGAAACACAGAAGTATTAAACTGCTAGTTTTCTACTAAACAATAGAGTTCTTTAGAAAAGTAAAATCTAAGATTTACAGTTGTAATGGGAAATGCCGTGTTGTGGCGGTCTAAGAAAATTCACATATCATTCCATTGGTGTAGTAAAAGGCAAATGAGGGAAATGAAACAGAAAGAGGGCAACAGAATCTTCCTGATAACATCTTAAAAAATCACTAACTGCTTTACAATCTCTTTTCCCTCGCCAGAACTCTCGCTCCTCAAAAGTAGATCAGCATCATCGATTATCCTCCGAATCTTCCGCCTCCTGGTGACCAAATTGACGATCTTGATCGCATGTGCCAAATTCGTGAACAATAGGAAAGCGGTGCCAGTCATTAGAGGCAGGTTTCCCCAAATCAAGCACATGTCCACAACTTGGATTATGATGTATGTGCCTGAAATACAAAATGTCCGTATTATCTATAAATCTGACTTCCGCTTAGTTCAAAAACTGTATTAAACAAATATTTTATAAGAAGGGTTATATAATATTAAGGAACTTATGGATGAGAATAAGCCCCGGGAATGAGGTGATCACTATCATGCTATTGCACGCCAAATAACGCAAAACGTCAAGCAATTTTGTGTTCTTAAAACTATAACCATATTGCACTTATACAATAATATGAGTAGCAGTATATCAAGAAAACACTCGAATTAATCCATTTTATACTTTCTAAAATCATTTAATATTGCTACTTTGAAAAAAAACCTTTTTTAAAAATTGTTTACTCCACGTAAACAATTTTTAAAACCAAATCCGGATGTTGATTTCGTATATGGTTACGACAACTCCCGAAAAATTTTACGTATCGAGACCGGGTTTTTTTATTATCTTCAGAATTACATCAACTAGTTCCTTATTTCATATCAGGAGCCTAGTACGTCTAGTTTGTTAATAATATTTAAATTAATAAATTAAAAATTTAAAGGCGCTACCATATTTTTTTAGCCCTTGAAAGACAAAGGACAAATGTACCATACAGCCTATATCGATTTTATACTTGGTGTAATAGATTTTTTTTTTTGGTGAACATTATTATTTTTTTTCCCTGTAGGTGGCACTATCTATTAAAATAAAGGAGCGCTAAATTTAAAACACGTAAATAATATATTATTTTGAAAGTCAAGTAGGTATACAATATTTTTTTCATCAAAATTAAATGAAACGCTCATGAGGCGTGCATTTTTGGATTTTCCAAACTATTTCTAATTCGTTTTGTATTGTTAGTTATCGTATAACTTTAATGATTGTAAACTGTTCTTTATTTTGCAACAATAAGTCCCGCTGTGTTTCTTGTTGGTTCTTCCCAGGACAGAGGAATTTTCCGAACCAGTGGTAAATTAAACATAAGAGTGACTTTCAAGAAATATTGTTAGGGGCAAATATTGGCAATGTCAGAATTATCCTATGACTTCTATCTACGTAGACGTAAAATACCCCTGATACAGTAACCGTGTAGTGGCGGTATCTCCAATATCCACTACCCTTGGCCGGTGTTTCAGTGTTCAGTTACTCTGACCTAGAGTTCTAATGACATTAGCTACTTACCCAAAATAAACATGAAACTGAAAATACCATAGATGTTGTACCATACTGTGGCGTCTCTCGTCAAATCCCGCGGCGCCCAAAACCCAACAATCCTTAGAATTGTTAAAGACATACGAAGGGAGAAATTTATGTTATCAACAAAAATTGTCATGTCTTAAATTTCCTGGTGTATTTTACTTATCGTGATAGTTCAGAATTGAATGAATTGAAACGCTCGGAACCATACAATTGAAGCTACTCTGATTTCCTTTAATTGCTAGCTTCATTGGTCCTAAACATTTTCTACCGACTTCAAATGGAGACGGTACTCGACTATATGTTTTTTTTTATGTGTTACCTCATAACTTTTTACTGGGTGAACCGATTTCAATGATTCTTTTTATATTTGAAAGCTGGTGCTTCACATGTGGTCCCATATAAATTTGATCAAGGTCTGTCCAATAGTTTTTGAGTTATTTTTAATAATTTATATTGAAGTCGGTTGTACAAATTTTTAATTATTTTACCGCCTGTTAGCGGTGTAAGAACATTCACTACCTAAGAGGCGACAGAGCGTCTTCCTAAAAAAAACAAATAAAATATAAAATCTGCGGTTGCCAAGCCTTTGCCAAGTGTGGTAACTATGGCAACCATCTTTTAGGGAAGCCTATGTTCAGCAGTGGACTTTGATAGGCTGTAATTGATGAATGAAAACACATTTTTATGTAGAGAGGTAATATTAGGTAATACTTTTAGTAGAGAATCCGTAACAAGGAAATCCGACTAAAGTAACTAGTGGATAATAAGCCAGACCTTAGTACAAAGAACTCCCAACCATTGAGAAAAAAGGTATTTAAAGTGGCAGCCCCTATCGACAACACCAGTATAGGGCTCCCTTGCTATGTATAATGACGACTGCAGTTGAGAACTGCAGGTCTAATCGACGAATGCTGGTGTCTCAATCGGGGAGGTGCTTAATGGGTCCAAGGTGAATATTGTAGGTTTTTTATATGAAAAAGGTGACAAACGAACACACAGTCTACCTGATGGTAAATAGTTGCTGTAACCCATAGACATTTACATCCATCCTCAACTAAAAATCAAAATCCAGAAGCGTTGTCACTCGTGAGAACTAAGATAAAATGCCTTGTTTCCAGTAAAAGGGGTCTCTGGTTCTCTACACAGTAGCGTTAAGCTGCTATTTTACGCTGATATTCTGTGAGAGCGTAGTCCTTCCCCGGTCGAGCCGACTCATTCGTGCTACAACTATACTGCTGATATAGCTGCAGCATGGCTCTACGTATAAAAGTTGTAAGTAGAGTATAACAAAACCAAAAATGTTTACCACCTATGCCTTCAATAATTACCGGCTTGCTGTTAAGACACTTAGCAAATACAATTATGCTATTACAATAAATACAGACTGTGATGTAGTGAGCTTTTCTTGTCAGAAAATTGACGGCTACATGTTTGTATTGTGAAGAGGTACTAATTATATGTGTTCGTAACTAAAAACTAAAGCGTGTGGGTTATTATACAGAGTAGGTTATTTAATACTTTATATATAACTAGCGACCTGCCCCGGTTTGGTCTGGGTAGGATCTATTAATGTGACGTTATTTAAATTTAAGGTACTTAAAGACAATACATTTTATAAATTTTTCATTTATTCAAGAAATAACTCCAAATCTTTTGTATATAATTTAAAATTAAAAATTTTGTACAGCCGACTTCAATATAAGTTATTGAGAATAACTCAAAAACTATTGGTCTGACCTTGATCAAATTATATGGGACCACACGAGAAGTACTAGTATTTAAATAAAAAAAGAATCATCGCAATCGATTTACCCAGTAAAAAGCTATGAAGTAACACACATTAAAAAAAAACATACAGTCGAATTGAGTATCGTCTCCTTTTTGGAAGTCGGCAGAAAATATAGACTAGATCAATGTCAGGCATTGCTATTTATCTGTTTTTGAGGTGTCAGAATAGAATAGAATAGAATAATTTTTATTCAATATTGATTATTATACAATATGTAAAATAAACCCTGTGGTTCCCGTTAAATGTGATATCAGAGTCAGTGTTCAAACGTATAGAAATAACTTTACATCAGAAAACTCGACCATAAAAAGAAATTAAAATTAAAAAAGTTAAAGTTACAGCCTATATACGTCCCAATGCTGGGCACAGGCCTGCTCTCATTTCTGAGAGGGTTTTTAGGGCAAGGAAATGTCCGCCGCGCTGCTCCATTGCGTGTTGAAGACCATCACATATCCTCGAAATATTTTTTTTCTTATTTCTCAATCATGCAGGTTTCCTCACGTATTTTTTTGCACGAGCACGCGGTAAATCAGCACTTAAAATTGCAATTAACAATTCATTGGTGCCGGCTGGGATCGAACCTGGGTTACTCGCGTACTGTGAAATTAACAGCGAGCGCTTCACTCTGAGCTACCACGGCTCTTGTTGTATTTTCAAAGACCCTGCTTTACCGACGCGCGTGTTAAAATAAAACCACATACAATTTGCAAATAAAAAATTAATTAATTTTATTTTTTTTATGGTATAGTTTTCTGAAGTAAAGTTATTTCATTACGTTTGAATACTGATTCTGTTTTTGTTACATGTTAATACTTATTAAATGTTATTCTTTTATTTACCACTGGTTCGGACAATACCTCTGTCCTGGGAAGAACCAGCAAGAAACCCAGCGAAATTATATTTTTTTAAAGATATTATATACCTTTACAATAATTTCGTGCAAACTTTTAAATGAATTTTAATAGAACTAGCTTGGTGGGATCACCTCATTCACAGATGTTATTTGTATTCATGTATTCTTTGATATACCCTATTCTTTTATACAAATTTTCTTTAATAAAACTTTTAAACTTGTTTATTGACAAACTAAACATTTTCTGAGATTTTGTTGCATGCCTCCCAATAACCCTCTAATCTCAATAAAATGCAGTTATTTCGATATTACAGATTCGATATTCTCTCTCTCTCTCTCTCTCTCTCTCTCTCTATATATATATATATATATATATATATATATATATATATATATATATATATATATATATATATATATATATGTATATATATATATATATATAGAGAGAGAGAGAGAGAGAGAAATAAAATTATGTATATATGTATCTTTATATGTAAAAATTACGTGTCACATTGTTTGTCCACGATGAACTTCTAAACTATTGAACTGATTACAATGAAATTTTGTACACTGTTTGCAGTTTGGTCCAACTTCAGAGGTAGGATACTTTTTATCCCGATATGACCTTTAATATTTCTTATTGCGAATTTAAGGAGTTTTTCATAGGAAGGGTCTTCGGAAAGGGCAGAGCAACGTCTGCCTGGCCAGCTAGTATATATAATTTTGAAAAAGTATTCCATGTTTTTAAAATAAAATTAATTTGAAATTAGAATTCTTAGCCAAACAATTTTTTTTTGATTTGAAATGCAATTTGATAGATAACATATTACAAATTTTCACTATTAAAAAAGACAATACAAAAAATTACAAAATTATTAAATAATTTTTGTTCGATAAAATGCCTTTGCCTATAGAATGAATTAGATTTTACGCTATTACAAAGAGGTTTTGCCCGCAATTTTCACTTCTACCGCGTGTGAAGTGTCACTGACATAACAAACGAACTAATGGTCTATCTGATGGTAAATGGCTACTGCAGTCCTCACAGTCAATGTCTCACAGGCTGTCACTGTACACTTTCTAAACCCTTGATACCGGAACACAGCAGTGCACGCATTGCTATTTCGTGACAAAAATATGTAAGACAATAGTTCCTTTCCAATCATACTCTTATAAATGGAATCCCTAGTAATTTCTACTAACGATAAATTATTTGTGAAACTAATAATATTTTTTAAAAAAACAACTAATTTTAATTGAAGGTAGCTTTTGGGATACTGTATTTAATAAAAATAAATCCATGCCCAATCATATCACTGCATGACTTCAAAATACAGTAACCTCATTATGCGTAGATCGGACTAAACTTAATGTGTGCTGAAGCACCCAAAATGTTGAGTGTTAAAATAAGTAATAAATCCGCTAAAATAGTTTTATTCAATCAATGTGTAGTGTTTGCGTAAATATAAGCAATAATTATATATAATTATTGTTATTTTAGCCTCAATTTTCAAAAAATATATATATAAAATTAAAAATATTTCATAATTCATTTATAAAACCGTTCATGCCATAAAGATTACATAACTAATTCATCAAACTATTTATATTAAATAAATTTGGTTATGGACAATCAATAGAATTAACTAATATCGTAACATGTCAAATAATAATTATGGTGCATTATTTAATCATAATAATATAAAATAACATTACATAATTAAACAATTCACAAACAAATTACAAATTAAAATTAAAAATAATGGTGAATTAATTTTATGATATAAAAATAATTGATTATCCAATATATTATATTTAAATTATTTTCCTACTATGTATTATTATTTTTATTTTTCGGATACTCATTTGCGGGTAAAGGTCTGCTCCATCTTTTGCAATTTTTCCTAATCTCATCCAGGCCACGGCCAATATATTATTTGGCATTATTTTCGATGAACATATCGATTAACGCGTAATTTATCTCCAATTATTTTAAGTAGAATAAGGGTGACAAACGAGCATACAGTCCACCTGATGGTAAGTGGATGCTATGGCCTATAGACATCTACATGTATCTTCGATTAAGAATCAAAATGCAGATCCGTTATCATCCCTGAGTATTTAGATGGAATGCCTCGTTTCCAGTAAAAAGAAGGTCCGTTTCTCACACTCACCGTACGAAACACACCAGTATTATGCTGCTATTTTACGCTTTTTTATTCTGTGAGAGCATGGTCTTACCCCAGTCGAGCCGACCCACGCTAGAGTGCTACAACCATAATATAACTGCAGCATGGCTCTACCACGTAAATTCCTATAATAATAATTCCAATATTAAACTTTGTCATACACGCCACACACAACGAAGCTATCAAATTAACAAAATTTTACTTTTAAAATATATAATTTCGTTACGTCAAGATATATCAAAAGATAAGCGACGACGGTCGGAGACGACATGCGGGTGGTTTATCTTCAACATGTGGCA